GGTTTGGAAAGATTGCTAGATGCACTCCAGCACTACATCCATGTTTACTTCCGTAAACATAGAGCACGCTGGCTTGTAACGTCAATGCATCCTCTACTGCGCATGCGCGACACTTAAGCTGTATGAATGCAGTTTACACAGGAGATCACATACATGTTGCATATATTTGGAAATGTGAACATCAACACAAAAAAAAAAGGATTTAACAAAAAAATCGTAATTAAGCATCAAGGCCTGCTGTGTGATCGCAGCCTTGGATTCTAAGTCACTAACCTCAGTTTCTATCTCTACAGAGTATCCTGCATGTTCGCCCCAGCTGATGAGCCGCCTCACGTTTATAACTGAAAAAACGCTTGTTTGAAAGTTCCCTAACCTTTCTGCTTGAATATTGGGTTCTAATTTTTGAGCTTCTGACAGTTTCTCTGTTTACAATGACCCAAACCAGCTACAATTAGTGGACATAGCATGAACTTCTTTAGGGAAAAATTGCTGCACCCTAAATGCAAAAAAGCGCTCTATCACAGATCCTTCTTCCCTGCTGCTTTAAGACTTAATGGCAGTCAACTGCACAGACCTAATCACTGCTGTCAGTACAGTTCTTTACATTTTCCTTGATACTTTTATAGAAATAAATGCACATGCACTTATTTCCTTTGCACTCTTGTTTGTGAGGCCTGTTTATCTTTGGCCTGTACTGAAGCCTTTTATCCTGAGGATGTTAAGATTGTTCATGTCCATTGAAATTCTTTGATTCTGAATACAAGTTTTGGGTTTTCTGTGTCATTCCAATGATTTCTCTTGTAAGTGTGCATTCACAACCACACAATAATCCATCTTGTAACAGTCCTGCTTCAACCGTTTGAGACAGACTAAACCGTTTACTGATCATGTTGCGGTATTATGTTTGAGGGTGGGGAAAATAACTTTGGTAGACGGGCACTAAACCCAATCAAGTCGAAAGGTTCTACTCAATGTCCTTTTTTTTAAGAATGTGTAGAACTAAACCTGAGTGCTGCTCATTACTAAACTAGTTTGCCAATTTAATTATTGTAATATGTCAGAAACAGTATTTACTATAGTACTAATCAGTATTTAGCATTTTAAATAATTTGCATCAGTTTAAAATTTGATAATTTCCTGCTGCCCTTTCTGTGACCTCTTCCTTTCAAATAAATCATTTCCCCCAAATGTATCCATAATCTATGATGTCAGATGGTTTTTGAAAGCTTTAACACAACTGTTCATGTTTCTCCATAAAGAGCACTTTGAAAGGTATAAATATTTAAATCAAACCTTTTTTTATGCATTTATTGTACTCCTTTTTTTCCCCATTTCTAACACTACTATGCTCCTTTTATGGTATGTTTGTGCCACTCCTAGTTTCCCCCTCTTTTCACTGTAATATCAGCAGGAAAACATGAAAAGGTCTTTAACCAAGAACATATGTTGGATCCTTATTGTTTTTCTCAGTTTTTTTTTTTTTTTTGAGGAGAGATTTTTGCCAAAACAAATATATTATTACATTTGCTCAAACTAACTAAAATAATTTAAATTGTATCCTTATAAACTGGGGTAAATGAATATAAATAGATTTAAGATTACACTGTATGGAAATTTGAGACTGTTACACCTTCTACAGTGTGATGCATCTTTTTCCAAAGCGGCTTACAGATCATCAAACATGGCATCTGTTTATGCTCAGCTAGAAATCTGCACATTACCTTCTGTTTTTGTTCTTCTGCGGTCACACTTGACTGATTTTATTTAGACTTGTGATGACAGGAAAGGGCAGGTGGGTTTAACATTAGACGGTTGGCATACTCTCCTATGGAGGAACTCCTGGTGAAACACAAATTCTACCAACATTAACGGGTGAAACAATAATATGCGATGAGGGAGCATTTATCTCAAATGTAAGGGTATTTATTATTTGGGTAACAGTCCTGAAAGGATGTATAACCGTGGAAAAATGATGGTGAAACGGTGTTAAAAAGTGCCAGGAAAATTTTGTGAAGTGTTACACAGTCTGGAATTTTAAACAACAGGGGAAAAAAATACCTGAAGACGATTCGAGCTGACAGCTAAAGGAGGGCAGGGTCCACTTAGACATGAGGATGCAGCCGGACGGGTGGGTTGGTGGGAGAGCTTTCCGTGTATTCAGCCTCATTATTCTTTTACCACTATAGAAAAACACTGCAAACAATTACGGTAATAAAAAAAATAATTGGTAGATGGCATTAACCGTTGTGTTATAAACAATATAGGCTCAGATGATACAACTCAGTGTATCATCTGAAAACAGACAGAAGAAGCCAACAGACCCACCAAGACATGACCATCCACTAGTGTTGTAGTCAAGACCACACCATCCGAGACCAACGAGTAGTGAGACCAAGACAAGGCCAAGACCTTTACACTGGCAAAACCATGTAGAAATAATAAAAAATTTCTTAAATTAAGTGTATTTACCCTTGATTAGAATATGTAAATGAAATGATTTGCCAATGGAATTCGTATTTTTACTCTTAAAATAAGATATTTATATAAAATGCACTTAAATTAAGACAATACAGTTGTGTTTTCTGATTTTAAATAAAAAATTGTCTTGTTCCATTGGCAAAATGTATCTTTTACCTTCTCAATTCAAGAAAAAATGCACTTATTTTAAGAAAAAGAGAAAAAAAGCTTAGCTAGATTTTGATTTTTTTCCAGTGGAGACCGAGACCAAGACTTTTTGAGTAACTTTTTGAAATAATAAAATAGAGTTTACAAGAACATCAATTTTCTCTTTACTTGTGTATCATGAAGTATTGCTACTGTTATTTAAGTAAAATGTTTCAGTACTCTATCCACTTTACTTAATAAAGAACAAGCATACTTTACCTAAATGCACCAGATACAGACGGACAGGTAAAGTCTCACTAAAATGAGGATTGCCTTTTGTTCTTTACATAGTATTTTCATCTGCTAGGACTTTTATGCCATGGAGATTAAATTACTTTACGGTAAACAAGCATCTAGCAGTGACGGTACTATCCCACCAACATGATACTTAATACCAATTTGTCACTGCAGGTACTATCATTCATACAGTATATATATATATATATATATCTATATAGATATAGATATAGATATATATATATATAGATAGATATACACACATATATATGCATGAAAATAGAAGTGTTTCTTCTGCCCAAGTTTATTTTGTATAAGTTACATTCTTTTCTTCATTCTTTTCACCTTTTAAACAGTAAAATGGTTATTCAGTGTTTGAGTTGCCTTTTAACTAAATACTTTTTTACTCTTGAAAAATTTATTTTTTTTCCCCCTCCTGCAGAAATGTGTTGAGCAGAACTTTTTGGCATTCTACCCACCTCTGTTGTGATCAAGTGAGACCCAAATGCTGCATTCCTTACGTGCAAAACAAAAGTTCACTTCTGGTGGAAAAACTGACAAAAAAACCTGAACACTCCAACATGACTGAGAGTCTGTGGCAAAATGTGAAAAATTATGCTACTTTGCATTGAAGAATTTGTTAAAAATTTGGTATAGTAAAATACAGCCAGAGACATCACACCCCCAACCCATAAAAACACTTTCAGCTATAAAAGTGTTTTTATTAGCTGCTCAGGAAAGCTAATGTTTCAAATTATTGGTTAGAAATATGGAAAACAACAATCAATCACTATTGAATCCCAATAAAACCAATGAAAGTTTTTGTTTGCAACATGAAAAACGGTGAAAAAGTTCAACGCCTAAATACTTTTACATGCACACCCAGGTATATCTGACCTCCATGGCCTTGGTTGCTTTGCAGCTTATTGATTCAAGTGTTGGTCAGGTCCTTTCTGGAATGCTCTGATTGTAAATTGAAAGATTTTCTTTTTTTTTGCTAAAGAAGAGGGAAAACAGAAAACCTGTCTGATGCAAAACCATTCCACCATCTAGGAAGAACCAGTTGCTCTAACTCTGACTGAACCGCAGCCTTTACAGTCTAAAGAGGACAAACCAATATTTATTTAGCACCAAACCTGAGAGTCTAAACACATTTCAACCAGCTGACAGCTTTCAGTTATTGCAGAGCCAAATATAGAGAAGCCAAAGGTGAGATAAGAATGTCTGCATTGCCCCCTGGTGGTTGATGTGATTAATATGAGTTTCTTATTTTTGGTATCATACGGTAACAGAGCTCTCTGTGTTATTCCTCATGCATGCAGAACATAAAATAACACAAAGCCAAGTGATAAATAAAATAAGTACATTTAAATACAGGCTGAAAAATAAAGCTTTAGCTTAAAAGGAAACTAGGTTTCACTAATATAGATTAATACCTGATCAACATCCCTACATATATAGAAGTGGAGCTGAATTTATGACACTATAGCTGTCATTGCATATCAGAGTTGGTTTTTTTATCACCTGAAAAGTAAAACCTGGTTGCAATATTGAGCAGAATGTCAGATTTTCCTTGTAACCCAAAGAACAAAGCAGGAAACTGAAACGTTTGACGGGTTAGAGGGTCTGTAACGGCCCCCGATGCCTACTGAAGGTGTGTATTTAACTGGCTGAGATATGAGAGCACACAGACATTGTAATAATTTCAATCAAACTGTCATGAAAATGTAGGTAAATTAATATAATAATCTCCTAAATATGGTGCAGCCTCTGCAAAATGAAGCTTTTTGAGATTCAATGTCAAAGCACTGAAATTGTATCAACTGTATTCATAAAGGACTGAGAGGAGTACATGAACACAATATCCTGCTGGGTGATAACTGAAGTGCTCTAACTCTCCAGGTGACTCTACAGCTTCTCTATGTTTGCATCTGCAGAGTGATATTTTGGGTCAGAAAAAAACAAAGGAGCATGAATCAAATCGATGAGATGAGCTGCTTGGCTCCATCAAAGCAGCACCTGCAGACAATCAGTGCATCAAGCAGTGATTGAACAGGCTGTAATAAATACCAACTCCCTGCAGGGGAGCTTGTTTGCCTTTGACCACACTGAAGAAACAGAGAAATGACTTGTGGACTTGGTTTGGGGTGAGTGTTTACAGCTGGATTTATTGGTGTGTTCAGCCTTTTTCTGATGGTTTGTTTTTGTGCTCTTTAGGATCTTTCTGATTTGCTTAGTTCAAGCAGAGCTTGGTGGTGGTTCCCGGCTTAAAGGTAGGAGCTGCGGAACTAATCCCTAGACTTATTAAAATGAAGTTTAAGGTGGACTGACTGAATTTTGTCTTCTAGTACTGGGACCCAAAAACGGCAACACACAAGCTGGCTTTCATCATCCAGAGAAACTAAGAAACTTTGGCAGTTACCACCAGAACCAACTCAGACAAAGCTCAGTTTCTCCACCTTCAGTTCAGAAGAGCAGGAACTTCAACACCAATCCTGCAGTTAGCAATGTTCCCGGGCAGAAACTCTTCACCAGCGGCTTCATGCAAGCACTCTCTAAACCAATTAAGAGTTCAGGGAGGCTGGTAAAGGGGACCAAACCAAGCAGCCAGAGTACTGGCTCTTCTGCCACCTTATTTCGTCCCGTTGGTTCTGGGCCACCTAGTTCTGTTAGGATGCAGACTTATGCTAGGGCTCCTGCCAAAAGGGTTGGCCTTTCAGGTACCAGGGGTTTCTCTCCTCCAACTGGAGAGCGGAAGTCTTATCTTAGACTGCAGAATGCTTTAAACGTTGGCGGTTTTAAGCCGAGGAGTCGACTGCAGCTCAGTCACAGGACCAGAGTCGATTCCACTCCTGGGTTTGCTCCAGTGATGATCCATGAGATCCCTGAACCCTTCGGTGGTTTTGCTATCAGACGACTGAGACCACCTACTGAGCAGAAGGTTCCTGTCCAGAAGATGCAGCAGATGGCTAAATCTGCGCTCCTGTCCTACAACCCTGATCTGATGAGCTTTGGGCCTGGATCTGACAGGACCAGGATGAAGCAGACCCAAGGGTTGGTCCAGACTCCACAGCAGAGCTCCACCCCTTCTCCGGCCTACAGTCCTGACCTTAACGGTGCTCATCCAGCACCCAGATGGACCAAGGTCAAAGTGCCTCACAGGCTCCAACATGGATCTTTTCACCAAAATATTAATTATGTGATTTTAAAATGATGATGCAATAAAGTTGACCTTTAATCTGCCTCCTGAACTGGTTTGAGTTTAGTGGGTCCCAAACAGTCAACCTTAAAACTTTGTACCTTCCCAAAAAAATTAACTCTAAATATAATTTATTGACTTGTGGTTGTAGTAACAAACTTTACTGTAGTGTGACGGTAGATTTCCTAAGTTCAAAAACGGATGAAAAATGGCAGCAAGAATCTTGTGACCCTGAAAATTGGACAATTTCAATAAACTTTTAGGCCATAAAATCCAGATAATTGGAGCATGAAGATGAAACCTGTGTAGAAAAAATATATGCAAAGCAAATATTCAGGTGCAATCTATAGGTGGGCTGGTATATTGGTCAGCAGAGGGGTGTACAGGTGCTGGTCATAAAATTAGAATATCATGAAAAAGTAGATTGATTTCAGTAATTCCATTTAAAAAGTGAAACTTGTATATTATATTCATACATTACATACAAACTCATATATTTCAGATGTTTATTTTGTTTAATTTTGATGATTACAAATGACAACAAATGAAAATCTCAAATTCATCATATCAGAAAATTAGAATATTACTGAAGACCAATAAAAACAAAGGATTTATAGAAATGTTGGCCAACTGAAAAGTATGAGCATGTACAGCACTCAGTATTTAGTTGGGCCTCCTTTGGCCTGTATTACTGCAGCAATGCGGCGTGGCATGGAGTCGATCAGTCTGTGGCACTGCTCAGGTGTTATGATAGCCCAGGTTGCTCTAATAGTGGCTTTTAGCTCTTCTGAATTGTTGGGTCTGGTGTATTGCATCTTCTTCTTCACAATACCCCATAGATTTTCTATGGGGTTAAGGTCAGGAGAGTTTGCTGGCCAATTAAGAACAGGGATACCATGGTCCTTCAACCAGGTACTGGTAGCTTTGGCACTGTGTGCAGGTGCCAAGTCCTGTTGGAAAATGAAATCTGCATCTCCAAAAAGTTGGTCAGCTGCAGGAAGCATGAAGTGCTCTAAAACTTCCTGGTATGTGGCTGCGTTGACCCTGGACCTCAGAAAACACAATGGACCAACACCAGCAGATGACATGGCACCCCAAACCATCACTGACTGTGGAAACTTTACACTGGACTTCAAGCAACGTGGATGAAGTGCCTCTCTTCTTTTCCTCCAGACTCTGGGACCTTGATTTCCAAAGGAAATGCAAAATTTACTTTCATCAGAGAACATGACTTTGGACCACTCACCAGCAGTCCAGTCCTGTTTCTCTTTAGCCCAGGCAAGACGCTTCTGACGCTGTCTGTGGTTCAAGAGTGGCTTGACACAAGGAATGCGACAGCAGAAACCCATGTCTTTCATACGTCTGTGTGTGGTGGTTCTTGAAGCACTCACTCCAGCTGCAGTCCACTCTTTGTGAATCTCCCCCACATTTTTGAATGGGTTTTGTTTCACAATCCTCTCCAGGGTGCGGTTATCTCTCTTGCCTGTACACTTTTTTCGACCACATCTTTTCCTTCCCTTCGCCTCTCTATTAATGTGCTTGGACACTGAGCTCTGTGAACAGCCAGCCTCTTTAGCGATGACCTTTTGTGTCTTGCCCTCCTTGTGCAAGGTGTCGATGGTCGTCTTTTGGACAACTGTCAAGTCAGCAGTCTTCCCCATGATTGTGTAGCCTATAGAACTAGACTGAAAGACCATTTAAAGGCTTTTGCAGGTGGTTTGAGTTAATTAGCTGATTAGAGTGTGGCACCAGGGGCCATCAATTTTGAACCTTTTCACAATATTCTAATTTTCTGATATGATGAATTTGAGATTTTCATTTGTTGTCATTTGTAATCATCAAAATTAAACAAAATAAACATCTGAAATATATGAGTTTGTATGTAATGTATGAATATAATATACAAGTTTCACTTTTTAAATGGAATTACTGAAATCAATCTACTTTTTCATGATATTCTAATTTTATGACCAGCACCTGTATATACACAGATCTGCTTCATAAACATGCGTAGAATTGAGAACATTAAAGCATTTCTGTAGTTTATCTTTACAGCCACAGATGCGGAATAAGTTTTGAGAATATAATGCTGCCACCTTGTGGGTAAACAATTTCCTGTATTTCAAAGAGGAAATTTGAAGATCTTGCAGACCAATTGAATCACATTTGGTCTTTGAATCACTGATCTATGGTAAATGTGCATAAATCCTATCAATTTAAGTATTGGCCTCACATGGCGGATCTGCATAAAATATTCCTCTAAAATAACTATGATTGGAATCATTGCTTAACTCTGCAATGAAGGAATTTATTTCTCGAATGACAATTCTGGTGCAACAAAGTATATTTTATTTATATATATACTGAAAAAATTTAAATGAATCTGGGATTGAGCAGTGAGGATGTCCTTTAAAACATGTATGTTCCAGGGCTTAGCAGATTTTGTGATGTACCCTGGGCTAATCTTAAAGCAAGATTGGAGATTTTGCAACCGTGTGTTAATTTTTACTTCCACTTTGGACTGTGGAAGCAGGTGTGCTTGAATCTGATGGAATTTGTGAATGTTCACCTACTTGCTTGGGGAGATCGTCCTCAAATTATCTGGTTTCTCTTCTGGCTCTGCTCTCAACTGTTTTAAGGCATTTCTATATTCATTTTGCAACAATAGAAGCTTACAAAATAAACAGATCCATTGGTAAAAACAGACATGTTGACCCCCATTACTGGGGTCAGTTATACACAAATCAGATTTACATTCTGATTCTAGGTTATAAACAGTACAGTCAATTAAGTATATGCAAGTCCTTATGAGATTTTATATTTTAGGAAACCCAGCCAATTGCATGTCACTTTTTTTTCCAGTACCTTCTGCAGAAAAAGCACAGTGTAGAGTGTATTGCATCTATTTATTTTGCAGGAATCCATTATAGGCCTACTAAGCATGCATTGGGTGAAAGTTGAAAAGCAAAACTCCCTTTCAACTGGAGTTAGACGTCCAGCAAAACTGGGATCAGTGTAAGATGTCGTCAGCAGCACCTGACCAGGGTTGGTGAAAGTAGATCAGAAGTAAAAACTGAAAAGAACCGGAACAAATCCAGGAATAAACATGTTTTAACCCTTGATGTCAAAAATTTTAGTTTTTACTTTGCATTTTGCACAAAAAGGAATAAAAAAATATTTTGGTATTTTGCAAAACCATGACAGCAGTCTCCATTAGGGACTAGATGTATCAGAAGTTCTTGCCAATGGTTCCAACTGAATGTGAAATAGATGACGTAAGGGAAATCCACGTGCTATTATCAACGTTTGGCTAATACAGTTTGCTGCATATTTTTAATAGTTAATAATAAAAAAAAAAAAAGCTATTGATTGTATTGATTTTTTTGTTGGCTTCATATAATACAGAGACAGATAAACTCTAAGCCAGTTTTAAAGTCAATGGGATGGAAAACGGAACACTTAGTTAGTTTCAGCAATTTCTTCTTCAGTAGCTTTGTATAGGTGAGAGATGGGGTTTAACCCAGACAAGGCCACCTGTATCATTTGGCAGCTAAACGCTAACCAGGAGGGTGTCACAACTGAGCAGAGTGGCCATCTAGTTTTTAATCAAGATTTAAAAAAAAAAAACCCCATAAAGATATTGCGGAAAGAAGGAAAATGTGATTGTTGGGTCTTCCTGCAGCCTAAGCTTCTAGCAGCGTAAATACAAACATAGCTTTATAAAACCAAAACCACTATCTAAAGCCTCTCAGCAAAGAACAGGGTTAAGTCTGGTCCTAAAACTAGATAGAAGGCCTGCTTCATGGTTTCACAGGAAAGGGGGCCTATATAGAAATAAACTAAAATATCAAACGTCTCCCTCTGTTTCTCAGCAGAACTCTTGCTGTAACATTTTGGAATATACTGAAGGCTTTTTAAAAAAAATTTTGTGTAGCAAAAACTATAAGACGATTAAATATTAGAAGCCCTTTCCCAGTCGAAAATTTCAAACCCAGAAATCAGAATAACAGTGGGATTTACATAAGGTATTTTAATCAAAAGTAAAGCAATGTTATTTATCTTTTTTACTACTTTTCAGCACTTGTACATCTGATCTAAACCTATCTTTTAAAAACGTCATGGATGAGTTGGATTCTGGTCTCTATAGCAGGTCCACAAAGGGAAAATAGAGCAAAGCTTTTATGGAAAATTGGAGTGTGAATGAAATAAGTGAAACTGACCAGGCTTCATAAATTGAACTGGGTTCTGAGAGCTGATGCTGTGCGTCTCTTCCAGTCACTGGCTCTGCTCACATTTCCAAAGTCAGCAGAAATGTCACCATCGTGATATGATCAGGCACTGATTACAGGAGGAGATGTGTTCATGGGACATTATCACACCAAGGCCAAAAAAACAATCTATTATTCTTTTTAGTTTACATTTCAGAGGAGACAGTATTCTATAACAAAGATAAAACTAATCTTTGTGCATGACGGAAGAAGTCTAACTGAAGGTTAAATGCATACCTTAAATGAATCTTCATATTTTTAACAGATATCAAACTAGCTGAATAGCATCGCTCTAAAGAGAATTATTCAAAAATTAATAACTTGCATCTAAATAAACAACTTATATTCATAAGCTCTTTAAATGGACATGGTTTTAAAACCTACAGATTAGGATCCACAGGTTTCAGGAACATTGTTTGTTAAACGAAAGATTACTTCATCTTAGTCGAATGTCATGTTGAAGGCCTTTGAAACAGCTCCCAGTCACAGGGTGATGTGTTTGTAAAACATCAGCTTTCACTGCGTTTATCCCGTTACAGCAAAGGTGATCTGTGACAGACTGATTCTGCTGCAGTGACTCTGGAAGTTCAGCTCCTTCCATCCTGCAGGGATCTGAGTTGTGTCCGATCAAATGGGCAGACATATTGGAATACCGCATAAATATTTAAATAATGGGTACAGTTTGTGTGTTAGGGTGTATGTAGAGCGGGGGGGGTGTAATGTGTGGATGTAACACCCTCCACCATGGCTCCTCATTACTTGGGCTGAAAAGTGTTAC